TTTTTTTTTTTTTTTTTTTAAATTTTTTTTTTCAACGTTTATTTATTTTTGGGACAGAGAGAGACAGAGCATGAACGGGGGAGGGGCAGAGAGAGAGGGAGACACAGAATCGGAAACAGGCTCCAGGCTCTGAGCCATCAGCCCAGAGCCTGACGCGGGGCTTGAACTCATGGACCGCGAGATCGTGACCTGGCTGAAGTCGGAGGCTCAACCGACTGCGCCACCCAGGCGCCCCTGTCTGGAGCTTTCTTAAAGGACAGAGAGTTCCTCCTCTTCTATGACAGCAGCTTTTTTTATATTTCTTCCTCCGTTTTTGAGTAAATAATTGATCCTGATGGGTAGGTTGTTATTGCCTGTAAGTGTATTGCAAAGGAAATAAAAGATTGAGAAGGATTATTTTTTTTAAATTTTTTAATGTTTCTATTTACTTTTGAGAGAGAGAGAGAGAATTAATAGGAGAGGAACAGAGAGAGAATCCTAAGCAGGTTCTGCACTGTCAGTGTAGAGCCCGATGCGGGGCTTGAACCCACAAATCGTGAGATGATGACCTGGGCTGAAATCGAGTTGGACACTTAACCAACTGAGCCACCCAGGCACTATTCTAAAATAAGATTAACTTATTCATTCATTGAATGTTTAAGAGGCTTCTGTACTCAAAGTATGACTTAGAGACCATACATGACATAGAACTTGGATTGGATCATTAGTGAGCTATGTTTTGGAATGATAAGTGCTGGAAGTAGATAGTAGGTTCAATCAAGTGTCACTGAAAAGGAGAAAGAGACTACTTCTGGCAGAAATCCAAGAAGAATTCATGATGGAGACATAGCATTATTCGGTCCTGAAAGCATAGGTAGCATGTAGACATTCAGAGACTTACCAGAGGGGAAGTCTATCCAGAGGCACAGAAAAGAAACATAAAATAAGTCAGCCTGCCTCACTGAAACAGTATGCAAATGAAGGGGAGGGTGAGAAGTAGTTGTTAGGGTGAATTAAGTCAGGATCATGAGGGCTTTGAGTGCTAAGCTGAAGAGGCTGGACTTGATTCTGTGGTCATTGGGTGCCGTGAAAAGGGTTGAAACAAGAAACTAAAATAATTACATTAATCTAAAAATTAACCAGATGTGTGTACAGTAGATTGAGTGAAGGAAAAGATGGGTGGAGGGGAGACAGGAATAGAGTTAAAGATTGGATTAGTTTGGTGACTGTGGAAACGAAGAGAAGGAAGCAAGTACAAAGACATGGCTGGTGATTGGGCGGCTGATGGACAGTGGGGTCAAAGGAAGGCAAAGGATGGAGGCTTCTGAAATCTGACCACTTGAAACTTGCTAAGTAGGAAGTAGGGAAGGAGCAGATTTTGGAGGGAATATGATGTATCCCTTCTCAGTATATATTTTCAGTTTTGAAGGCCAGGAGGATATATAAGTCAAAAAGATACACACAGTATTTCAAATTAGGCAACTATAGACCTGGGACTCAATGGTCATGGGCAACAACAACAACCAAAAAAATGTGTGAAATTGGAAGAATTGACGTAAAAGGTGAGTTGTAAGGGTAGAACAGGACATGGTTTGGCAAAGAACAGCCATGACCAGATGCCAGGGGATGTTTAAGGAAAAATGCTAGCCTTTAAGGAAACTAAAAAAACCACTTGTCTGTTTCATTCATAGACCAAAGTTTGGAGGGAAGTACTGCACCGGAGAAAGAAAACGCTATCGCTTGTGCAACGTCCACCCCTGTCGCCCAGATGCACCAACATTTCGGCAGATGCAATGCAGTGAGTTTGACACCGTTCCCTACAAGAATGAATTCTACCACTGGTTTCCAGTTTTTAATCCAGGTAAGGAGCTTTGACAATATATTCCAGATCTAGGGCCGCAGCCACCACAAGAGAGACCACAGAATGTCTGGGATGCCCTGCAAAGTTCAACAAAGAGAGAATTGTACCATGAGGAGTTTTATACTTCCGAAAATGGAAACATGACCTGCTTAGGTTGATCAGCAAATGTTGGAAGCTGAATATATCCAACTCTGTGCTGAGCTCTGGGGGAGATAAAAGAGAAGCTTATCAAACATGGTGGCTCCCTTCAAAACATGGTGCAGCTAAGCAATCAATGAAAGTACTTGATTCCTGATGAAAGTGCTCATTGATGAGAGTGTGAACTGACTATAATTTTGGCAGAAATTCAGAAAAGGTCATTGTAAGTTTGGACTAATTTCAGGGAAGACTTCTAAGGAAGTGTTGAGGACTCTTAAGCATGAGAAGTCTTACTACTGGAAGAAGAAAAAGGGAAGACATTTAAAATGGAGTCAATAATTCCATTTGACAGGAGAAAAGCACAAGGAAAAACAGGATGATAAGAATGCCTTCATCAGAAATAAGTGAGACCCAGCTCTGGGCCAGAAATAAACTTTTTTTTTTTTTTTAAAGTACAGGACAGTATAAGGGTACAAAATAAAATGAAGTAATTAAAGGATGCTCATCAGGGCATGGTGACATAACTGAACTGCAGAATGGGACAACTTTGGCAATGCTACCCCTGTATCAGCACCAGTTACACCTTCTCTCCTGAAAATGAAGAAGAATCATTAACCATTAGCTATAGATTGGCATCAAAAAATATCTGTGCAGTGTGTTATTATTCAAGTAGACAATGAAAGAGAAAAGATTTTCCTGAGCTAAGGAGATTTGAGTCAGGGAGTAAAAAATAACTAACCAAAAAATTTTTCATGATTTTTTTTATTTTATTTTTTTTCAATATATGAAGTTTATTGTCAAATTGGTTTCCATACAACACCCAGTGCTCATCCCAAAATTTCATGATTTTTTTAAGTTTCTGAAAACACAAGAGGAATCATAGGTGTCAGCCAGTGAATGAAAATTACATATGTGGACTGTTAAAAAAATGATATAGTCAATTGCTTTTGAAGGAAAGACTCAGTGGTGCTTTGCCCGTATTGGGTCCCCAAACTACCCTGAAGGCTTTTGGTTGTCACGAGCAATGTCTTCTCCTTGCCCCCACATTGTTGAGCATCATTCATTGCTCTAAGGGGATGAGTCATTTGGTTACTAGTGCAATTCAGCTTCCTGTTCCTGGCATTTGAATCCAGCCAAACTCATGTGTGTACTCATGTACACACACACACACACATACACATACACACGCACACACGCACAGACACAAGAAACTAATGATGAAAGATACTTCCAATTAGTACCATCTATATTTATATTTTTGACATTCTCTATTATGTTGGAACTATTTAGGACAGTAGTATTATAGACCCCAAATGAGCAACCTTCCAGAACTAAGATAGCATAACTATCCCAGGGTTGTGACAGGGTCCGCCCCCTGCCTGATGCAGGGTGGGGATTGTGTGTGCTGAACTCTGACAGCTTGAGTAGCTGGGCTTAGAATAAAAAGATTTGGTTTGGCTTGGCTTTTCCTTTATTTAAAAAGCGTTTGTCATATGCCTCCATATTACATAGCAGAGCAATGAGTACTAAATAAATGAATCATGAAAGCAGACATAAATTTCACCCACTTTGGAGTGGTTAGTTTGCATCTGTCACTGATGTTGAGGCTGATATGAGGGAATTAAGCTGAGTGTCAACACTATATACCTGGGTTATCAGCCTCCGTCTCCATCCTGGTGGTTTTCTTGCAGGCTCCTGTGCCATTATTTAAGCATAATGACTTAGCTGCTCACCCGAGTAGCTACTACCTTGATCAACACACTGATTTCCTTCACTTATTAAACTCTAACCTACAGAGTTTTTATTTGTTTAGTTGATGAGCACCCCTAGTAGAAAGAAGTATACTTGGTTGTTCATGTCAACAGCTAGGTATAGAGCATTTATTCCAGGCCAGGCATTGAGCACTTCCCCCTCCCAGCCTTACCATTAGAAGTTACCATTGGATAAAGTAAATACACAGCAGAGTATTCAGCCCACACAGTGGGCGGTGTTAAGTGTCTTGGTAAGTGACCTTCAGGAGATGCACTAACTAGCCAATGACAGAAGAGTCATAGATTTAAACATTTGGAATAATCGTAGAAACTCCATCAAATCTTGTAGTTTTCGTACTCTGCTGCTTGGAATCCCAGGGCTTCCCAAAATGCTTGATTCTACTTTCATTTTTCAAAAAAAAAATGTTAAACTGGCATTTAAAAGTGCCATAAAGAGCAATGCTTACACTCAAAATTATACATTAAGTTTTAACATATGAAAGGCCACATGCTCTAAGTTACACAGTCAAATTGATTTGGCTTTCTGCACACCCTAAAATAAAAGTCTCTCATGAACATAATTTAATTGAAAAATATCCTGGGATTGTAGGTTGAGTTTCTTTAACCTGTTCTCATTTGCAATTGTTTGTCTGTATGAGTCAAGATTTTTCAATATTGTGCAACCAAAAAACTCACAGAAAATAATTAGATGCTGCAGCCAGTGTAAGTCTGTAACTGCCATCCATAAGCTTCATTTCAAAATTTTCTGTTTATCTTAATAATTTCTTTAGATCCCACTGACTTATTTTTAAACGCTATGTACTTGAACTTACAAAATTTATGCTTAATAAAATCCTGACTTTATCTGTTTTATTTGCAAGATCTTGTTTGGAAAAAGAAAATTAATTCTTCTGCTTAAAAGATTTGAAAACTGCTAATCTAGATCAACTTCCTTTCCAATATAGATATTCTCTTAACCAACACTCCTGACAAAAAGAAAATTATCCAAACTCCGTTTGATCACTTTCATGTAGGCACCGGTATGAAGAGCTGCCACAATCAACTGCATTTTCTGAGCCAGTATTTATATCAGCATGAGACTCTGTATTGTCTCACTTATCCCCTCCCCACCCTTACAGGTAAAGAAGCTTAGTCTCAGAGGAGACAATGACTTATTTAAGGTTACAGGATTTTATATAATGGAGCTGGAATTGAAGCATAAGTCTAAGAAGCTGATAGATAGATAGATAGATAGATAGATAGATAGATAGATAGATAGATGATAGATAGATAGATGATAGATGTTAGATAGATAGACCTAAACTAATTTGTATAGATTTCCAGGGGCTTCATTGGCCTATGTTAATAGAAATGTGTTTATATTCTGCATCTTCTATTAGGAAATGACCAGAGCCTGATCTTGATGTCATCACTTTCCTGGAATCTCTCTCTCTTTTTAGGTCTTCATCTTTCTCAGACTACCTAATTTAGCCCAAATTCATTTAGGCTCATTTTTCAGTTGTTGCTTCTAGATATTTAAGCCTTATTAATGCTTGAAGCCAGTGAGGTTCCCAGCAAATGTGGAGGGTCTGACGTGAAGTTGAACCACATCTGCTCCTCGTGGAATAGGATCCTTCAGGAATACCTTTCAGGAGTTGCCGCAGTTAGGATTCCCTCAGAAGCAGACTCTGAGACAGGAGTAGCATACAGGAGGTTCAGCAGCTGTGGAAGAAGAGGGGGAAGAGGGAAGGAAGAGGGAGTGTGCAGGGGGAGCTGAGCTACAGTGCAGGCTCAGCAGAGGCCTTATCCTACCCCACAGGGCGCTCTGCGGCTGGAACAGGCTTTCTGGGTTTCCAGGTTGAAGTGGGAGAGCCAAACCTTTATGCCCCACGGGGACTGGTCCCTGCGTGTGGTCCACCCTGGGAAGGAGTGAGTGTCCTTGGTAAGGAAGCTCTCAGGGCTAGTGCTGGCAGTGCTCCCAGGAGCTGGAGGGATGAGTCCCAGCACCTGGGGGGCCTGGGTGGTGTGCACAGAGCTTATTACAGGAATACTTGGGATTTCGAGAGAAACAATCTTTAAAGAGAATATAAGTGTGGGGAGCAACTGGGAGATCGTTTAGCCAGAAGCCCCTGTTTTGACTAGTTAGGGATTCCTATGGCTTCAAGAGAGGAAATGATGGACTAATAAGGATGATGTTTGCAGACACCTCAAAGCCAATCACAACCCTCTTCACCCTCACTTTCCTCTACAGTAGAAGAGGGAAAAGGAAAAGACTCAGGAACCCATATGCCCAGGAAACCCAATCCAGACCAAAGAGATAAAGATGGAGTCCCCCATGGGTAAGGCTTCTGGGAGGGCTTTTAATAGGCACTGACCCCACTGGCCCTCACCCCCTTACCTTTCTGCCATGCACCCTTCCCCCTCCTGCTGTCTGGGGTACAGCAGATCACACTGTAGCCAGAAAGCCGATGCCCCTGCTGAGATGGCTGAGCAGAAAGACTGGAAGGAGGAGAGATTTATACTCCTACTGATGAAGTTTTGGGGTGATGGTGGGGTCCAGAGCCGGTGGCCAAGAAAGAATTCTTGAAGACGTCTGGTGCAAAAAGGTGATTTTATTAAAGCACTGGGACAGGACCTGTGGGCAGGAAGAGCTGCACTGGGGTTGTGACGGGTAACTCATTATAGACCCTCAGGTTGGAAGGGGGTCAAGGATAGAGTAAGACTCTAAGGTATTTTGGAAGCAAGGTTTCCAGGACTTTGAGTGGCCAGTTGTTGCTAGGGAAACACCACTTATTACTGTTTAATAAAACCTCAGTCATGAGACCCTTCAGATGTATATGGCGGGGGGCACGGCCTAAGCTTGGAGTATGATTGTCAGCATATATCTTGGAGCAGTTGAGATAAAGGAAGTAGACTTACAGGATCCTCGAGGTTGGGATAATGTTAAGCTAAGATTCTCTTTTGCCCCCAGCAAAGTGTCATCATCAAGGTAGCTGAGCTCCTAAAGGAAGTCACTCTGCTGGTCTCAAAGACTTGTCAATGGGCTGTAGGCAGTAAGGAAATTTAATTTTTCATTTGTGTTAGTTTCCCACATCACCATGGCAAGCACTT